ATTTGACTATAGAAGTTACGAATTTAGGGATCTTCTTGTTGTCCGACTATGTAGGCGTTTAGATTTTGTCATTAAATATAGCTTTCGACATAAGAAAGTAGCTGAGGTCTTTCTCTCTTCTTTTTTTTGTAATTAATCAGAGGTATAATGTACCACCTAGTTTATTCCCTTACAGATGCTTTTGTTACCTCCCTGGCCCACTATTTATTTTCTGTTGAAGTACGTTGGATGTTGTTGTTTCTATCATTACTTTATGTTTATATTTTGTTTGCTTTCCTTTTAACCTGAATATATATTTCTTAGTATATTCTGCTGCCACACAAGCATCATAAACATATTTTTCAGCACATATATTAGTTTACTAAGTAATGTATTGTTTTCTTGGTGAATTAGTAAGATAACGGTGTGTACAAGTTGAAGGTGTCCTCTGTTCTTTTTTTTTTTTTGGGCGTAAAACTGATATTATATGCTAATAAAGCTTCAGTGCTGAATGCTTTACTGATACTTTATGGTTGCCTTAAAAACATAACAGTATTATACTCCTAAATCCCAATTTCTTCAGCAAATTTTCTGTTTTGTACATCTTACAATGTTTGATCTATCAGGACCATTACATTTTGTCGTCTTTTATATGTGTGTGTGTATGCATGCGCTGTTCTGCATCAATGTTTGCTAAATTATTCACTGGAGAAAACCATTAGTGGGCCCTCTTGTTTTATTATATAGCCATTACAAGGTGGTCCCCTTGTTTTGGTGTTGTTTCAGTCTGTTTTCCTTAAACACCCCAGTATTCCAGATTGGATGGTCTTCAAATCTGGATTCCAATCCTATAATCAGGAGCTAAAGCTCCGTGTGATATAACTCTTCATGGAATTCCAGTTCAAATAATAAAAATGTGAAGCAAACAAGGAGAAAAATCTTATGTAAGGACCGTTCATCCAACAAATTTGGATATTATCTTCCACTTGTTTGGGGTGGTCCCTCTTTATTTTCTTAAACTGTCTGACTATTAAATTTAGTGATCCTTTTAAACAAAAGCAACAGACCAGGTAACTAAGGATGACTTGTTTTTTCCAGCATCTAAGTTAAATCTTCTTGGCCTTTATGGAGATTCGGTTTTATGTAGCACAATGATGCTAGACTGTCAGTTGTTCCAGGGCTGCTTGCTTAGAGAAGATAGAAACAACATATCTAATTTGGTTTGATCTTCTGCAGTTATGTCTTACTTGAGAGTCATCTGAGGGCTTAATAGGGTAACATCATCACTGTATTGCTCTTTTTAGAAGTTAAAAGATTCAATCCCCTTGAAATATGGTGTAAATATCTTTCTCTCAAAGGGATCTTTCTATTTACATGGATAGCTTTCTACATTTATAAAGTGATACTGGTTGGTGTGAGCTGCATTCATGTCAATTCAACAAATGCGCTTAGATAGTTTACCATTTAAAGGGTAGGGAGATAAAGAAACATAGGACTCGCTCCGTCCCTTTTTATATGATGGTATTTGACAAGATATGGACTTCAAGATGTTAAATTGCTTATAATCAATGAAGCTGGAATGAAGACCATGAGAGTCTAGGGCTCGAATCTCAACAGAGACAAAAATGCTAGGTGATTTCCTGCCATCTGTCTAAGTTTTGGTGGACTGAAATACATGGTACCTATATTGGTGGGAAGATATAGGTATCTGGTAGAATAGCCAAGGTGCACCCAAGCTGGTCCGGACTCCGTCTTTATTAACAAAAAAAAAAGAAGTAATTTTAAAGTGAGATTTTACAGAGAAAACATTACATAAAAGTTTAAAAATTTAATAATTTAATGAATTTTGAGTTCCTGAAAGTTGTGAAAGTTGTATAGAAGTTGAATCATCTCAAACACTTCAGAATGTCCCAAATGATAAAGGTGTCATATAAAGTGGGACAGAGGGAGTATTTGTGATTCTCCTTATACTATAACTCTATAAGTAGTTGCTTTTATATGTTTGAAGATCCAATTTAGTATCTTTTTTCTTCTCAGGATGTATTGGCAAAACTGATGTCATTCTCTCATAGTACCTCACAAGCCGTCTGCATTCTGTCAGCAAATGGCTCCATATCTAATGTGACACTTCAGCAAGCAGCAATATCTGGTGGAACTGTAACATATGAGGTTCGTATTGCCTTGTGCATCTTATACTAATTGTTTGCTTATATGGTTTGAAGTAGTTAATAGTATCTTAATACACGTTAAGCGATGGACATAGCTTTGAGATATTAAGTCAGATATGGACTTGCCACACAAATTTCATAGGTGAGTTTACCGTTGACCTGTTTGAAAAAGAAAAAAAAGAAAAGGAAGAGGTCTATGGCTGACCTGTGTTGTGTCTTTTTAGTCAGATGTGAATCACTTTGTGAAGTGTTAAACACTTTACTTCAAATGTCCAGTGGAAATAATTCACAGTTGTTTTATTCTTCCCACGGCTTTGAAGATGTATTTTTTCCCTTCTTAAGGCGTTATTACTTGCTACTTCCTCAGGGACAGTTCGAGATCCTGTCTCTTTCTGGTTACTTTCTTCTCTCGGAATCTGGTGCTGAGCGCAGCAGGACAGGTGGTTTGAGTGTGTTACTAGCTGGACCAGATGGCCATGTTCTGGGTGGTGGAGTGGCAGGAGTTCTTACAGCAGCATCCGCTGTACAGGTGCTACATGACTTTAATTCCATATTTCTCTCTTACCTTACATTCTGTTTGTGATAGTCTCTTATTACCCTTGATATTCAGAATTCTCAGAAGAAGAATGTCATGTTTTGTGACCTTCGTTTGTTGCAGGTTATTGTTGGTAGTTTCGCTATGCAAGGTCAAAAGCAATTAAAATTGGATCATTCTGATGCTTTTGGTACGCCATCCACAATGGTCTCTGGAGCATCAGCGGCTAAAAGCCCATCATCACTCGGAACTGTAAGCGAGTCCAGTGGTGAGCCTGTGAGCCCTCATAATCAGCTTGTTGAAACTTCAAATAATAGTCCTCCTGTAGTTGCTAATAACTTGCCCTGGAGATAACTTAATAACAGGAACGATTTCTCTTATTTCATTTACACTGTTGAGAACTTGTGTTGATAATCCCTCGGTATTTAGGAAGCCAACCATTTTGTTGGTTTAGAATTTCTTTTTTTTGTTGTATAAGCATCGTTGTGTAGACATTTTTGGATATTAAACAGACTTTATTGCTATCATTTTTTTATATATGGGTACATTATTCTGTGAAAAGGCATGACTCCAAGTTGTTCGAGAATAGTGGCTTTGAGCTCTCGTATCTTTGATTTAGGATTCGATTATTTTATGTATCAATCGTTACATCTCTAACAACTGATGCAACTACAGCCAGTCTGGTGAGATATAAAGCTCCTTGGCAATCCCAGAAGTAACGATCTGTGCTCATGGGGATTTAAGAAGTACTTTTTTCTTATAATTACTAGGAATTTCTAATATGAATCCTTATAAATTAAGAGGGTGTTTGGACATAAGAATTGTAAAATTCCAAAAAAAAATGTAATTTTTTTTTCAAATGAAAATGACATTTGAAAATTAGAGTTGTGTTTGGACATGAATACAATTTTGTATTGTTTTTGATGTTTTGTGAATGATCAGAGTGAAAATTTTGAAAAATAGTTTTTTGGAGTTTTTCAAATTTTCGAAAAATTCCAAAATTCATCTTCAAGTGAAAATTGAAATAGTTTATGACCAAACACTGATTTCGAAAAAAAGTGATTTTTTTTTTATATCCGAATGGGCTATTAGCCCCCGTTTGGCCATACATTTTGGCAAGTTTTTTTCAAAATTTTTTTGAAAACATTGTTTGTCCATAGATTAGTGATCTGTTTTTGAAAAATTTCTGAAAATATTTTTCAAGTTTTCAAGCTAGCGTTTGGACATAGATTGAGTTGAAACTTGAAAAAATAATTTTTGAAGTAGTTTTGAAAAATAATTTTTGGAAGTTGAAATTATGTTTGGACATGCATTTTATTTAAAAAAAGTTTGAAGTTTTGTGAGTAGGAACTTGATTTTCACCCAAAATCTACCATAAACTAGATTTTGGAAACTTGAAAAATATTTTCAGAAATTTTTCAGAAACAGATCACTAATCTATGGACAAACAATGTTTTCAAAAAAAATTTGAAAAAAACTTGCCAAAATGTATGGCCAAACGGGGGCCAAAATCTAGTTTATGGTAGATTTTGGGTGAAAATCAAGTTCCTACTCACAAAACTTCAAATTTTTTTTAAATAAAATGCATGTCCAAACATAATTTCAACTTNNTTTAACTTTTGGGATTTAATGGTAGTACATTAAGAACACTATGATTTATATTTTTGATAACTACTATTCCTTACCTTTGATTTTCCAGTTATACAAAAAATGGTGAAAATTAAGGTAGCCAAGTTAGTAAAATATTTTTTATATTCATTAGTTAGTAAGGTTAATTTCTTTTTCCCAAGTAATACATGAGATTGGTCACTTGCTTCAAGTCAAATAGGATATTACCTTTTCCTTTCAATCAGTCTCAAAATGAAGTAAAAAATTTAACGTGCAATCCTTAACTCAAATTACCGTTCAAAACATGAGTTTTTGCTTTAGTGTGTTGATGGCAAGTAGATCAAGCAAGGCCCTTATGATCAGCTATCGAAACAGAATTAGTTCCTTTTATGTTATTCTAATGTTTGGTTCGTCACATTCTCCGAAAATGAATCTAAGTAGGTAAATTTATACTTAGCCGTAATTTTCCTGAGCAATTTTATATGAAATCGAGCTCAAACTAAGATAGCATTAATTATTTCAAATCAAAATATTACAACATGATATCGAATTGATTAAAAAGCATTAGAAACAACTAGATATTTATAATTCTGCATAACAAGGAGTTCCAACGAATCATGTCAAATATTGTTTACAATTATACATGGCAAAAGATTTCTAAAAACATATATCTATAATAAGAGGTAAATAAATGGATGTTATAAGTCTAATTAATCTTGTTCCGTGGGCATCTGAAAGCGACAAATAGGGCAATAATGGCTTGTCTCTAACCACTTGGTAATACATTCTCCATGAAACATATGAGAACAAGGCATGCAAAGTATCTCAGCGTCATCAGATTCCTTCACAATTAATTCATCTAAACACACTACACAACATTCATCCTTGCTACTATATCTTTCTTCATCAATCTCCATCTTCTTTAGTAATTTCATTGATGACTTACTAGCTGGCACCATACGATTTGATAACGCTATTTCTTCTTCTGGAACCAACATCCTTCCCATACAAACATTCACCAATTTTAAATCCACACATACATCCAACTTTTGATGTCCCTTGTTTGAATCATGTTTAATGATATGACGCACCTCCCTCATTGTATTTTCTATTATAGAGTTGCGTCGGTCTTGAAACTCCACAGTATTCCAATTTCTAATAATAAGTTTTGAAATTTCTTGGTAGAATCTGTCGTCGGACATGTAAACAGAATGGGTGAGATATATAGTCGTTGGTGTGGTTTCCTCTTCCCAACTACGTATGAGCAGTGATTCTTCAACTTCTTCTGTTAACAAAATATAATATCGTTTACGTAACGAAAACTGAATGCCTAAAAGGGGTAAAGAAGAAGAAGAAGAAGAAGAAGAAGAAGAAGAAGAAGAAGAAGAAGAAGAAGAAGAAGAAGAAGAAGAAGAAGAAGAAGAAGAAGAAGAAGATGGATTAATAGTAGGAGTATTCAGTTGTCTAATGGTGCGATTTGATGTCCACATGTGCCTGCGGCATACAAAGTTTCTGAGCGACATATTGACTATTGGAAAATCAACGAGTGTTTCAGGTTTACTTCGGAAAATTTAAGGTGCTTCAATCATATTTATACTAATTATTTGAGAACAAATTCAGAAACCTAATTTGATTTTGATATGAAAAAGGGTTTATGTGAAACGCGCTTTCCGTATCCAAGATGGAGAATGAGTTCACCATTTTGGTAACACTTTAGGAAACTATATATAAGGTAATTATATAATGCATAGGAATAGGAAAAAATATCAAACTTTACCCCTGGGTAGAGAGGCTATTTCTCAGCATCCTTCCCTCCAAGAACTTCTCACTTTGCTCTGAGGGAGACTCGAACTCGCAACCTCTTAGTTGGAAGTGGAGGTTGCTTACCATCAGAGCAACCTCTCTTGTCTCTGCTTACAGAAATAAAGTTACTTTAATTGTTTCTTTAGCCGTGTTCTTATAATAAAGGGGGATTTGTGAGATATAAATTTGCAAATTAAAGCGCACGAGGGACTAAAGCCCTAAGATAAAATTTTCATGAGGCGATTCAGTGTTTAAAGTTCTCCAAGCCGAATCTTACCAATTTGGTTGTCACCTTAGAATATCAAACACAGTCCATAAACTTCAGATTTCATTCTGAAGTTCTTATCATTTGAAGTTACACTTTGAAGTTATAAGAACTTCAGATATTTCAGATCCCGATTCTGAATTTGCATTTTGAAGTGATAAGAACTTCAAATTCCGATTTTAAAGTTGCATTTTGAAGGGAGACGATAGAAAACTTCATCTCTGATTCTGAAGTTGCATTTTGAAATGATAAGGAATTTCATATCCCATTGTGAACACTATATTTATAACTTCATATGCAAATTCTGAAGTGATACATGTAAATTTTGAAGTGAGTAAATTTGAAAAAAAATATTATAACTTCGGGTACAACTTAAATAGTGGCCCCAAATTAGTTATTTGTGCAATTCCCCGACCCTAAGCTATGTAGTTAACCAATATAACCACGAAATTTTCACACAAATAGCCTGTTTGATTCATTGTTTACTTTTCCCAGTTGGTATACATTGATTTTGATTATACATAGTTATATGCATCATATGCATGAATTATACATATATTATATATTTGTTGACTTTTTAAATTTAAGGCGTTGTGATCACGCCCAACTACGCTTTATAAAAAGGACAAAGCGGTCGCTGCAAATATATTCCGGTTAACAAGTCCGGAATCGAATCCCACAAAGAATTAACCTATCAATCACAGTTATTGGACTCATAGAAATTCCCGTATTCAATCTTCAGAGATATTTGAGTAACAAATTGGGTGTTTATTAACTAAATATTACGTAATAAAAATGCAGTAATTAAAAACTAGCTATAAACGGTTTGTAAGCAAGATTTGGAATGGCCTAAGGTTCTGATTTCCCCTTTTGTCGGAATCCTTTCAGCTATGTTACTATAAATTTGCCTAAGTCTTCTCTATCGATCATAAGCACTCTGACTATCGTAACTCTCTCCCGAGTAATTACAACAGTATACTAGACATAATCTCCCGAATTACGCTAGCTGGCCTTACTAACAGCTCACTTAGATCGCACCCAAGGTTTCGTTATCCCTAATCCCACCTTTAAACCCTCTGTATTGATCTCTCATATACGTTAGGAGTGGTGTTGTTCAACAACTACCTAAATATGCACTCTCTCCAGAGTAATGCATACTAAATAGGCACAGCCGATTGAGGGCCCTTCAATCAACAGCAATCACAATATAGTTGAACAAACAGAGAAAATATTATGGCAAATCTATATTAACATAACAAGAAATTCATCCTCCAAAGATTCCATCAAAACCCTAGATTAGAAGTTTAGCTACGTATAATCGTTTTCACAATCATAACGATAGAATTCATCATCAATGATAAGAAGAAGAAGAAAGGTAAAAACTCTATGCCGAATCTTCCGCCTTGCTTCTTGCCTATTCTTGCCTTCAAAATCCCTTCAAAAACCTCAATATTTCTCTTTTTGGGTGAGCTAGGCTTCTTATAGGTCAAGGAGAGTCATCCTGGAAATTATACAATTGGCCTTGAATTTTTTGCTTCGAACAACCTGTCCGCGGCCGCGGATTTGGTCCTTGCTCTTTCTTCTCCTTTTCGATCGTGTTATCCTCTGATTGGCCTTCCATACTCCATATTGACTCCAAAACACTCTTTTAGCTTCCTCCTAGCTCGAAATGGCTCCTGCAAAGCATAAAATTCTTAATTAGAGTATTTGGTTATCTTTTACATTCAAACATTGATAAAGTGCGGCCAAATTGGAGTGTAAATATTATCTAAATTGCATGATTATCGTCTACTATCAATACCCCACACTTAATTAAACCTTTGCTCGTCCTCGAGCAATCAAACCACACTCTACAGTGGCCTAACTTCACTGAGCTACTCCCCTAACTCGTCACACCAAGAATATTTCATAAGAATTGAGCCTAGTAGTGTAACATCTTCGCCTCAAGAGCTGACTCTCTCATGCCACGCAATATTCCTAACTTTACTTACTTACTCTAACGCAGAGGTTAAGACTCACCTTTCCTTCATGAATCAAGTGCCCTTTCATAACAAACGAAAGTGGTTTCACACACAATAACAGTTAAGAACAATTAGGAACTCAAGATAGAAAGATTCACTCACTCTCAGAAAGAACATTCATATGCCACAAAAAATACACCATAGGCTTGCCCGTAGTTTATTACTCCACTAATCGAGCTCATTCAGTCTAGGATCAATTAAGACTTCATTTGGTTGTAATGTAGGCCGCGGGATTGGTAGGATACATTTAGATATAAGAGTGACTACACCTCCCTAAGCACTTTAATACATATACTTTAACATTTAAAACCCCACACATATGTCAAAACAAACCCCACCTTCGCATCACTATATATTAACTCCATTCTTCTTTAAGCTCACTTATATCAAGAGCCACCACTTATCAAGGGATATGTTTCACAACAATTCAACTTTTTTTTTCTTTTTTTTTTCTCAATTCAAGTGGCTCTTACTTTTTCAAAACAGTGCACCTTTCTCCTTATTTCATTAGTTCCACTCAAAATCCTGACCAACCACCTCACACTTTAACTTTACAAAGTTCATAACACTTCAAGTGCTCATGAGTAAGGGTTGTAATGTGGTTGCCAAAAAAACATGATTACATGCTCAAAAGGGTTAACTACAATTAGGTGGGTAATATATATATATNGGGGCAAGTTCTAGGCATCCAATGCAGTGCACAGAATACAACAATCCTCACACACACATGGCACATGACTCACTCCAGGTTGGATCATCGAAACACTCTAGTCAAAGTACTTAAGCCAAGTTAAGAACATACAATTTAAGGCACTCTAATAAGAATCAACAACTGAGCCTAAGTGTCACACTAAAGTATCTACTGTCTTCAAGGCATAATGACGTTAAGGGATCCTCCTTCCATATCAGCCCTCAGCCCACAAGTACCTAATTAAAATGAAAAAAAACTAACTAACCCCGTTCAAACAAAAACCCTTGGAAAAGAACCGTGGTCAAAAGAAAAACCAAGCGGAAATTGATACACTACCTACAAAAGAAAAATATTTTTTTTATTTTTTAATTTTTTTTACATCGACTTAGAGCCTCAAGATACCCGTCGAGTGATATCCGTCATCGGGACAAGTCAAAAATTTGAAATTTTCACACCTTCACATATTTAGACTACTAACGAAAAACAAAAATCAAACTAACCGAAGACTAGAGTCAAGCAGAATCAAGCTACATTCCTATATATATAGCCCCCACCCCACACTTAAAAAGATGTCATGTCCTCATGTCATAAAATAGAAAGTAATGCGAGGCAAAGGAACTTCCCTGGAAGATCAGTCTTGATCAGAGATAGTGTCGGGGTCTAAGTGACACGCCCTCCCCAGCGCACGCAGCCAGTCCATGATTTTCTTATCTGATTTAGCATTTTGGGTGGCCAAGGCATCAACTCTAGTCCCCAAGTCTGTGACAGTAGTACGTAGCCCTGCCATTTCCTGCTCTAAGGCTGCCAACCGTGTAACCCGACCTACCCTGGACGCCCCTTCGGCTTCCACAACATGCTCATGGGAGGGCGACTTAGCCCCCACATCATCCTTCTCATCATCTCCCTCCCTGGATGCCTCAGAGTCATCACTATCAATTGAACTAGATACCACCATCTCTTTCCCAATGGTCACTTTGAAAGCCCGAAACATTGTTTCTTTCTTTACCTTGCCGTCCACATTGGGGTTCTCTGACACCCCTACAGCCCGACACAATCTAGTGACCAGAGATGGGAAGAAGAACCCATACACCCTCCGTGTTGAATGGATGAATATCTCACAGTGAATAACCTTGGCCACATCAAAATCGTGGCTATTCATGAAGCACCAGATCAAAGCAGCTCGCGGTCTATTGACTTCAGTGGTGTTGTGGGACGGCATCAGTCGACTATTGATGATGTAAAACCAACACTTACCTTCAAAGGTGAGTGATGCGGAGTGCAACTTCGATCCCTAAACAACCCACACTACCTCATTGTCTGGTTTACAGATAGTTTGGAAAAACAATTGTCAATTTATGGGTTCTCGCTTGTAAGTATCATAGCAATCCGCCTCCCCAGTAAATGCAGGTAAGAGATACACTCTCCTAATAGCTTCAATAGAGGCATTCACCCTCTTTTGTCGCACAATGCAAATGTGATCCTCATGTTCGGAACAGTTGGCGTAGAATTCTCTAACAGGCAATAAATTACCGTCATCCGGCTCCTCGAAGAAGATGTCGAGCCTGCGCCTAATCAGCTCCCTATACATATTGGGGCACTCAGCTTGGAGGGAACCCCTTTCAACTCTCCTTTCTGGCACTGACTTTCTAATTGCCTTATCACTGAAACGGTCTTGGGAAGCTCTGAAGACAAACCTGGTGCTATCAAACTGCCCTGAACTGGCTGATGCCCATGCCCGGGACGAACCACCGGTAGTGCATCTCTTTTTTAAAGATCTCATTGTACCTACACAACAACCACCATTATCAAGAATCAGTGGAATAGGTGAACCAAGGGCGGTTACTCAGACTTCACTCGCCCCTTGGGTTACAATTTATACTAGAAAGTTCATTGTGGCAATTCAACAAACACCTTCTGTGAATATGCCCCCAATGTACCAATGTACCCAATTAAACTCTCATTCCTCACAACTCAACAATGTTTTCCCAACCTAACCAACCTAATGTCCTCACATATCAACAAATATACCAACAAGTACAACATAGATAAGAGTACCTAGATTTCTACTTTCTTACACCTACAATAGAAGAGACAAAGAATGAAAAGAAAAGAAAAAAATTGAAAAGAACAAAACAAAATAAACTAAAAGAAGAGAGTAGAATCATGTACTTACGTGAGCATCTTTTGCTGAGCGGAGATGGAAGAGTGGGTGAGTAGGGAGGAGGGAGAAGAGAAGGGGATTTGGTGAAGAAGGGGGAGGGGCTGCGTTAGAATTTGGGGAAGGGGGAGGGTTTTGTTTTGTCTTTGTGTTGTTGTTTATAGCTATAGAGGGAATAAAAGAAAAGGGGAAATGCGGATGAATGGTGGTTCTAATTAAAGAAAAAAACTAATTAAAAGGGGGGAGAAAATAAAAAAAATTAGAATTTTACACCTGATCGTCGCNGTTAGAATTTGGGGAAGGGGGAGGGTTTTGTTTTGTCTTTGTGTTGTTTTTTATGGTTTTGGGTGGGGGTGGGGGAATAAAAGAAAAGGGGGGATGCGGATGAAGGGGGATTCTAACTAAAGAGAAAAAAAACTAATTAAAAAGGGGGTTGGGGGAAGAAAATATAAAAAAATTAAAATTTTACACCTGATCGGCGCCAGGTCCGCGGTCGGATTCGCGGCAGCGGACAGAAGATTTGCAAAATCCGCGGTTGATCCGCGGCCACGGATGAGGTGTCCAAGTTTTATTTTGTTGCTTTTTCGCGTTTTTGCCTACCTCCGGGATACTTTCGTCACCCCGAGTCCTTCCGCTGCACATGGCTTTCGTTACTGCACCTTAATAGACCGATCAAAGTGAAAAAATTTGATGGGTTGTCTCCCAACAAACGCCTGATTTAACGTCACGCCACGATGCAGATAAGCGTATTTAAAGTACGCTCAACTTTGGAGGCTCGATCAAATGGGTCACTAACACTTCCTTTGCATCCTCCATTTCCACATAATGTTTTAATCTATGCCCATTGACTCTAAACATGCGAGAGTCATTACTCGCAGAAATCTCTAAGGCACTCGTGGGGTGAATTTCAACCACACGAAAAGACCCTGACCATCGTGATTTCAATTTGCCCAAAAACAACCTCAGACGTGAGTTGTATAAAAATATTGTATCTCCATGTTTAAAATTCTGCTCAATAATATTCATATCATGTATCTTCTGTTGATACCCAATTTTCCTTCACATTTTTTAAATATACATAGATACTTCCAAAATAGTGCATATGCGTCATCACTTTGTTTTAAGATATATACAAGCATTTTTCATAATTTTCTATAATTTAAAGGAGTTTTAAATCAATTTATTCCTATATTTTACTATATAAATATTTGTTAATTGCATCACAAATTATTTTCTTTATCATTTAATTTCATCACTTACACCCCCATTAGGTTTTAAATTCTTTAACATATTTATCATAAATACATTTGCATTTTTTGGTAATTATATTATATTTTATTTCATCACAAAATCATTTACACATCTCACATCTGGAAATCAGCAATTTGGACATAAGGTCCCAAACTTGCTGAATACCATCTCTATTCAGCTTTATCTACAAAGCTCAACTTCCTAAGGATAAAAGATCAAATCTTTCATATATCTATCCAATCTACTAACTCTGCGAGCTCTAACATGAATTTCTCTTATCAGTTGCTTGACCACTTGATCTGCAGATCTGCTGCTTTCCTTGAAGACTCTTGCATTCCTTTCCTGCCATAAGTGATACACTCCACCAGCTAATGTCATTCTGTATGCCTCATGTTGAGCAGTCTTCCCAGTAGCATTTTCTATGGTCCATTGTACTTCATGCTTCTAGTTCCACACTTCTCTTCTTATGTTTTTCCAAGCTAGGAGCTTTGACCACACCTGTTTAGCATACATGCACTCAAATAGTAAATGGTCAATATCTTCATTCTCTTGCTTACATAGCACACAGTCCATATCGTCTAGATTAGCCCAGCATGCTATCCTCTCCTTAGTTTGCAGTCTTCTGTGCAAAGCCAAGAATAAGATGAATGTCCATTTAGGTTGGCCATTATTGTTGCAGACAATTCTTCTCCAAGGCATTTTCTGAAATTCCCCACGATAGGCTCCATATATATCCTTTATTGAGTATTTGGTCATAGCAGCTACATCTGTTTCATGGAGACCTATTTTTTCAAACATGTTTTTTGCTTTAATAATCTTCTGTACCACCCATGAGGCTTGGGTAGTCTTAGTCTCCCATACTTCTCCTGCCTTGGTACAGTAAGCATGGATCCACTTTACCCATAAGCAATCTTTCTTCCTGTATATGTTCCATAGGAGTTTACCAATAGCAGCCCAGTTCCATGCATAGATGTCTAATATATTTAGACCCCCTGCTGCTTTAGGAAGACATAATCTATCCCAAGCAATCAGTTCTTTCTTGCTAAGATCACTACCTCCAGTCCACAAAAAGCTTCTGCAAGTGGCTTCTATCATCTGAACAACCTTTTTTGGCAGTACAAACACTTGTGACCAGTAGACTTGAATAGAGTACAACACAGATCTCACAAGTTGGATTCTTCCAGCATATGATAAGTATCTAGTGGTTCATGATTTTATTCTATCCAGCATCTTGTCTATTAGAGGTTTGCATTGAATAATAGACAACCTTGTGGTACTCAAGGGAATTCCTAAGTACCTAAAAGGTAGATCCCCCTTGCCAAATTGGGTAGCCTGTAGGATTAGCTGTTGGATCTCCTGAGGGACACCACCAAAGTACACCGAGCTTTTCTCAGTACTGGCACTCAATCCAGACACTTGTGAAAACTTTTGGAAGCACTGTACCAGCATAGTGATAGACTCTAGTTCTCCTTTGTAGAATAGTAAAAGATCATCTGCAAATCCAAGCTGAATAATCTGCATCTTTTTGCATCTATGGTGAAATTTGAACTTTTTATCTTCACAGACACCCTTCAAACTTCTGCTAAAGTTTCCATGGCAAGCACAAATAGGAATGGGGAGAGTGGTCTCCTTGTCTTAGACCTTTCTTAGCTGGAAAAGGTGGTAGTGGCTCTCCATTGAGTAAAATTGAATAGGATACGGTTGAGATGCAGCACATAATCCATCTGATAAACTTTGTTGGGAACTGGAGGCATTGAAGGATTTGCTCAACATATGGCCATTCTATTGAGTCATAAGCCTTTCTCATATCTATTTTTAGCATACATCTAGGGGTGATATCTTTCCTTCCATAACCCTTCACCAATTCATGGCTCAAGATGATATTGTCTGTGATTAATCTTCCTGGAACAAAGGCTGATTGACTTTTGTCCACAAGACTGTCCATAATCCCCTGCATCCTAGTAGTAAGGATTTTGGAAATCAGCTTATATAGCATAATGCAGCATGTTATTGGTCTGAATTCTGATATTTTGTGGGGTTATTGATCTTTGGGATTAGTGTAATTATTGTACAGTTTATAGCTTTGTATATATCTCCATCAATGAAGAATTGGAGGACAGCTTCAGTAACCTTATTTCCAATCACACTCCAAGCTTTCTTGAAAAGAGGGCATTGAAACTATCACATCTTGGAGCTTTATGATCATCAATACTCATAAGGGCTTGAAATACTTCTTCCTTAGTAACTTGTGACACTAGCTGCAATTGTTGATGTCTATTAAGCACTTTTCCACATCTCATTACCTCAGGGTCTATTGCTGGAAGTTGGTTAGCAGCACTCCCTAAGTAGTGTTTTGTAGAAACTAGTTACTTTTGTAGCAATGTTTTCTGGTTGGTGAATAATGTTTCCTTTAGAATCACAAAGGCTTGTAATTCTATTCTGAGTCTGTCTTCTCCTTAAGCTGGCAAAGAAGTAGGCATTGTTCTCATCACCTAGTTCTAACCATTTATTCCTAGATTTCTGCTTTAGGATACTTTCCTCCACTAGGCTCTATTTCTCTAGTTTCATCTTCACTTCTTTCTCTTTTTCAAACAGGAGATCTGGTTGAGTGAGATGGCCCCTTTGCGTTTGTATGTCTTGTAGCTTCTTCCTATAGAACTCCATCTTCTCCCCTATGTTCCAGAATTCGGTATGATTCAGTTATTTCAATTCTTTCTTCATTTCTTTTAGCTTCCACCATATGTTTTGCATGTGCTGCTTTGTTGTAGGCTTGTACCATGTATTAGCCACAACTTTTAGGAAATCTGTGTGATCTGCAAGGTAGTTCAAGAATCTAAAAGGCTTTGGACTTCTTTGCACATCATTTTGTAATTGGACACACAAAGGAGTGTGGTCTGAAATCCCATGATTTAAAATCATTACTTCAGTAGTAGCAATTGCCATCAACCATTCAGCATTCACAATGGCTCTGTCTATCCTGCTCCGGATGTGACCATTTGACCAAGTATATTTCCTCCCTATTGCTCGTAATTCTGTCATGCCACTAGTTTGTATAAATTCATTGAAATCCCTTACTTCATTATCTTGGACTGGGTTGCCAAATTGCCTGTCTTCTAAATCAGTTATAGCATTGAAATCCCTAAAGACTAGCCATGGAATTTGAAGATACCTATTTTCCCCTTTCAACTCTTCCCATAACTCCTTCCTTGCCTCTATAGTATGTAAACCATATATTGTTGTCAAGTGTAGTTTTAGATGTAATTGAGGAATGCTAAGGATTCCATGAATAGCCTGAGAACTCATATTAGTAGCTTCAAATTCCAACCTGTTTGGATCCCACATAATCCATATTCTTCCTTTTAAGCTATGTGCATAGTTTGCACATCATTTCCAGTTAGCTGCAATTTTTTGAATTACTCTGCCAACATTATCTTACTTCACTCTATTTTCTAGTATAGCTATTAGTGCTATATCATTATTTACAATGACCTTCTTTACCTCTTTTTGCTTATAAACTTTATTTACACCCCTCATATTCCAAGCTATAAGTTTCATATACTTGGTTGTTTGGATTTAGGATCCCCAGTATCCCCTTGGTAACTATATTGCCCTTTTTCCATATTTATATCCCCTATCTCAAAGCTAAGAGGACTGAATCCATTCACCATATTAATGCCAGTATCACCCCTTATGCTTGCCATACCACTTTTAGCTGTAGATTTTCTTTTAGCTGGTTCTCATTCTGGTAGTTTCTCATTCTCAGTATCCCCTATCTTGCTTGCATGTATTACATTGTCAGCTGGAATACTTTCATCTTTTTCATCCCTGCTTGGTTCTGCTCTTCTTCTCCATTCCATCTTTGGTTTTTGTTGCTTTTGTTTCCCTTCTATAGCTTTCTGAATATTTCTGCAACTATGTCCAACCTGAATGCACGTGTGACAATACTCAGGAATCCAGTCATAGTCAATTGATTGCTCAAAAACTTTTCCCTTAGGATCCATCACCTTTAGCACAGTAGGCATACCTTTTGTAACATCCATTTCAACCAAAAGCATTGCATAGGAAATCCTCTCAATTTTTGAGGTGAACTCATCTGCATACAGAGGTATTCCTAATCCACTACCTATCCTACTAAGTGAATCCATACTCCAGCAATTCAGTAGCAAGTTGGGCAGTTTTACCCAAATAGGTATTGTCTATAATACTTCCTTACTGAAATCAAAATTAGGCGACCAGGCTTTCACAATTATAGGTTTCTTATCATATACAGTCCATACATCAGCACAACATCCCTATCTTCCATGCTATTATGCTTGACAACGAAATATCCATCATTATGGAAGTATATTTTTGTTTGCTAATGAAGTTCCATTGTGTGGCAATAAATCGATCTAGCACACCAATTAAAGGGGAGTCACCCACAACATACAGCACAATTGCATGTTGTCATTTCACCGTTTCACGATCAACGTATTTTGTGTCTAGTTCAACTATTTTTTCACCATTTTTTACTATCAGAGCAATAAATTTGAGGTTCATACCCTCTAGACGCCAAATTGTTTCTAGCAAATAGGTTCACCCACTCCTTCTTCTATTCCTCTATTGGTTTTTTAGGAATTTGAGCTTCCTTCGACATAGCTAGCTTCATTGTTTCCGTCTACTGTACCTCCTTCCTCTGTATCACCTTTTCAACTTCAATGTTCTCCGCGATTGGGACTTCCTCCAGTTGTTTCACACTTTGGCTTTGTTCACCTTTATCAATTTGAGTGGATCTAGTTGAATTCACTCCATGCAAAGGCGGCCACATCTCAGTAATATATATTAACATTTGATTTCTCTCTACTTTCTCTCTCTAAAAACAACGACGACAGAATGGGGATGTGCAGTTTACTCATGTGAATATAAGTTCGGCCCAGAGGGAGCTTGGATATAAGCCTAGTACGGATCTGCAGACGGGATTGAAGAATACATTTGCATTTTTAAAAGCTAGAATTGCACATTTGCAATAATAGCCCATATATACTTATAATTGTCATATTCATGCAAAAAATAAATTTTTATATTTTTACAGTATTAAATAATTGTTGTTAACCATTTTTTATGCACAAATAATATTTTTATTATTTTATTTGTCATTTTACAAATTATTTTATTAATTAAAAATGGGTATTTAAAATCTGGCCCCATTTTTATTTAATTCAGACCTAAAAGCTACCCAAACCAACCCAATACTCAGGCCAATTTTAACCCCTTAAACCAGCCCAGAAACCCCAGGCCCATACCCATCTACCCCAACCCAATGCCCGGCCAAATCCTGGTCATTGATCATTTTGATCAATGGTCCAGATTAACCCTTTCCTAAACTAAACTAAATGATCCCCCCCACCAAACCCGGTCATTCTCACCCACACAGCTGCCCTGAAATCCCTTTCCTCTCCAATGCTCTAAAAACCTAATCCTAATCGGACCTCGATGTCACTCATCTATGGCTATTAATGGTGGTTTCTCACCACCCCCAGGTCTCTAACGACCACTCATCTATTGGTATCACCATCTCCAGGGTCCTCAAGGGACCAGGGTTAGTCTGCTTGCATCTATGGCCCTTTTTCGCCTGTTTCAGGCTGTTCTAGTGTGATTCCGAGTAAGAGCTTCCTATATTGCCTTAGATCTATGGGTTTTTGAGCTTGCTTCTTCACCTCTATGTTGTTCTTCTCGAAACCATAATTTCTTCTAAACTTCTTAGATCTGTACAGATCTGAGATGGTTTGGACCTATTTTGTAGGAGTTTTACAACCTTCCGATTTTTTACAGGAACCCTCTGATTTTCGAATGATTTTCCATCTTTCTAAACTAGGGTTTTCCGGAAATTTCTTTTTCCAAAATATTTGATAATCTTGAGTGTTTAATCTTCTTTTTCTCATATGTTTTTTACCGATTTTGTAGGGTTTTCTCTAACCTTAACTTGTTTATACTAAAAGCCCTAATTTTTTGACATTTTTTGTTTGGTTTTTGAGTTACTTGTGTACTGACTTTGTTCTTGCTTTAGTTCTTGTGATTTTTCTTTAGCCATTTAGATGTCTCGTGATTTTATTATCCTAATATGCCTCTACTAAGTTTCTTGATTCAACTTTTCTACTGATTCTACATGTCTATGTTCTTTCTGGCTATTCGTGGTAAACCTATTTTTCTCCTTAAATCGGGGTTGTTTTGAATGTTTGATTTTATCAATTTGCTTCGTTTAGACCTATGTTTTGAATCCTGACTATTCATTTCTTGCCTTATTTTGTTTGCGAGACTTGCTGACTCTTTACGTGATTTTCTCTTTGATTGAACCCTTGACTATTCTGAAGTTCTTATTTTCTGATTTTATTTGAACTCTTTTCCTTAACAAAACCTTTGATTCTTACTTCTCTACTCGCTTTGATTGAACTTCTTGCCTTAATTAGTTTTCCCTTGCCTTATTTGTTATTTGCTGATTTTCACTGATTGTTTCCTTAATTGAAGTTCCTGTTAATTCACTCCTAATTACCTGTTCTGTACCCAAGTCTTGCTTGATTCCCTTCCTTAAATATTTGTCTTGCTTTTACCGTTGATTGATTCCATTGATTAAGGGGAAGACTTACTGATTTTATGTGTGTGACTGATTCTTTGACTTTCCCTAATTGCTACATGATTGATCCCTTACCTTATTTTGTCTAACTCTTGATTACTATATAAACTCCCTCTTATTTTAACTTCTACATGAATAATAGATCAAAAACTACCACTTTACACTCTGAAAAAGACCCTCCCTGCTCTCTTTGCTACTTGTGATCTCTGTTATTCTAGCCGGCTGCAAGCCAAGGCTGGAAATTGCAATACCTTTCTCACATCTTGTGTTTTATTTCTTTAACTAGGTATGCTTCTGATTAATTTTAAGAATCCAAACCTATGTGTCTAAATACTGCCTATTCAAATCTATGATCAGCATATTTCCACTCTTACCTGCTTGTTTGCTATCTTGTTTAACATATCTACTTATGAAACTAAGCTTGTTCGACTGACTACTGTTTATCTAGCATGCCTAGACTCTACCTTTGTGTAATTAGCATGTATTCACCTATTAATACTTTCCTAGCATGCCCATCTAAGTCTTTGCTTGCTCTGCCTCACTCCTGCTAAGTTAATTACTCTCCCTAGAATGGCTTCAATATGTTTCTACTGTGATCTTTGCTGCATGACCTACATCACAGTTCTATGGAACCCCTTTAAGAGTTTTATTAAGGTGTATCCTATGTGTTTCCAACCCCTCTTCCCTTGTGTAATGGTTGTTTGCCAAAGTACTTCCTAAAATTGTTTATTCTATGACGTATGTTTTGATTGCAAATTGTTCCTTTATACTTTCCTTAAACTGTTTTATCACTAATGGTGTTCAGAAGTTCTTTTCAGTCCTAAGACCTTTCTTTTAAACTCTTTCAAACCATTATGCAATTTCACTTACTCCTAGAATACTAGGTACTGCCCCTCTAGTATGTATACTGCTTTGAGACCCTTGAGATCTCTTTAAACTCTGGCATATCAGGGCTGGCACTTCCACACTACACAATAATCAGTTATTATTTGAGAAAGTTCTAGGTGTGAGCATTGCTCGGGATCCTTGAGGTCCTTAGGGAACTCTGACACACCTAGACATGAAATTGGTTATGGAACTTTGGGCATTTGAGACTATTGGAGGCTTGTAAATTACTTTGGGTCTACTTCAGGCTCCCTATAGTTTAATTTCTATTCTATTTATGTAATTTTGTTAATCATTGGTCTGTAATAATTAATTCTAAACAAACAGTGGGGTAATTAGTGAAAAATGGAGGGTAGTTGTATATTGTGGGTAAATTGGGTAGATAACATGCCTATAGGGTCTATTTTGATTCAAATGTGTTTGTTAGATAGTATGCTTATAGGATCTGCTTGGGTTTAAATAAATTCTGCATGCTTTACCTTCACACAATTAGAAGCCATGCTTATAGGATCTGAATCAGTTTTATAATTAGATATCATGCCTATAGGGTGTAAAGTAATTGAAATTCAGTTTCCATGACAGCATGTATTCAAATTCGTCTCCTTAGAAATCATGCCTATAAGATCAAAATTAGCTTTTACTAATTAGATACCATGCCTATTGGATTTAAAATCAGTTGTAATAGAAATTATGCCTATAGGATCTAAAACCAGTTTAGTTAGATTTAAAATCAGTTTGACTCGTGCTCTTCAGTTCTGAATCATATTAAATATCACTAGAAAGCATGCCTATAGGACCCAAATTGCCTGTTTAAAAATCGTTTACTGTTTTACTGCATTCCTAATCAGTAATAGATACCCTGCTCATATGACATCACCATTATACGCTTAGGCAAGACTATAAGATGATTAAAAATCCTCCAACTGTAAAACTGTGTTCTATTATCTGTGACTGCTCATAATCAACAGGTCTAAAATCAGTAGGCAAGCTGAATAGGTCCTTGACACTTTGGTCCAAACTCAGCGCTGCATATTATCTGCTCACCTAGATATCATGCTCTAAGGCTTTCTCTTAAATACCTGAAACTGTTGTTTGAGACATGCACTTGTTTTATGTGGAGGTAAATGTGAGCCTTTAATTATTCCCTTTTTAAATGCAGTCCTAATTGTTTTGATTGATGCCTAGAATTTTCTCCTTTAAGTACTTTAAGATGGTCCAGAAATACCTAAATCAGAGGTCCTAAATACCTCTAGGGCCACCAGGAAAGGACGGGTAGTGCACGTATAGGACATCATTCAATGTTGCTAGAACACTTTAGGCTATGACCAAGAGGAGGGAATTGGGTAGTAAGGATATGATGACTACGCGCTAATGTCACGTGTAACCCCTCATTGAGAAGTGATTACCGGGCATTGTGTGGGTATGATCTTATAGGCTAACCAACCTAGGACCCCTCTTTCCCAACTCCTGTTGTTTAAATAAATTTATTTTTCTTTATATATGTGCAGCTTGTTCAAGCCTTTTCCCTGTTTCATTACTTGAATCATACATGTGCTTAGAATGCCAAAACATGACTTTACTTGCAAGTACGTGTTAAAACTATTTATTTGTTTAAAATGACTAATTCACATAGTTTGAGTTTGGTCGGGACCCACCATTGTGGACCGCGAGGGGTGCCTAACACCTTCCACTCAAGGTTATTTCGAGCCCTTACCCTAATCTCTGGTCATGTAAACTAGTCTATGAGTTAATCACTCTAAGTGCCCTAACGCACCATAATATGTTAGGTGGCGACTCTTCAAATACTCAATTCACAAAAGGAAACAAGTTATTTCCCCCATAAATGTCGAAACTCGGACTTCCCCGTCAAAAAGGGAAAAAAGGGGGCGCGACAGCATGGCGACTCTACTGGGGATTATTTTTAGGCTCTTACCATAACGAACTTATCTTTTGTGAATTAGTCCAAGCATGTTCTATCCCACGTAACCTTTCCCCTTATTTGAATTTAACAGTCTATTTTCAAGCATTTATGATTTCTTTTCCAGAAACTGACTTGTCTCCTTGTTTTCTTTTTCTATAACTGTCTCTTCAATTATTTAAATACTGCATTTATTATTTTCTTACGTGCAAATACTTGACAACATGTTATTTATTGCTGCATAAATCATGATCAACATCATACTCCACTCATGCATAATTAATCCTATAGCAACGCTTGATGAGTGTGTGCGCTCTTCCTATATATTACCCTTTAAATTCGGAAAGGTGTATTTGCGGTAAAACTAGTCGATCAACGGTGCGTTTGACGGTTC